CCTGGGTCCGAACAGGTAGCAATCTGTTCGAAAACAAAAGAAAAGGTCCAAACGTTTTTAGGAGCTCAGCCTCTGGGCCTGAATCTGGCCCTGGTCCTAAAACGTGTACCTGGCCACAAAACGGACAACAGTACAAYCGTTAGAAAAACAGCAGCAAATAAATAAATAAAAGAATATAAAAATAATCTAAAGCTGGCGTTTTTCTGATGCRGGCCCAAGTAAAAATGCCATAGGGCCTTCAGGTTGCAGTGACGCGACCTGGGGGCCCTATTCCAACCTCGGGTCCCATGAGGGGCCCGTGTGTAGGCTTTCAGCATGTAACACGCCCCCCTCCTTATGAAGACGARCCGGGGCGCGGGCGAAGCTGCTGATCCGATGGCGGAATGTAGCGAGGATGGCGAGGAGTTGGAGTGCTCTGCGTAGTCTTCCCTTTGCTAAGATAGCGTGAGAGAACGGCGGGGGCTGTGGCCTGCAGTTCCGAACGCGTCAGCCAACGGTCAGCCTTGTGGCTGCAGTAGGAAAAGTGAAGTAGAAACTTTGTTTCTTTGTTGCCATGGCGCCGGTCGGTGATGATGTAGCCGGCCTCCTGAAATCCGTCCATGGAAGGAGGGTCTTGCGTACGTCAACCGGGAAACTCGTCGGACTCCGCTGAAACAAAAGGACCGAGTTTGGAACAGTGGAACACAGTGTGGACGGGCAAGTGAGGTGGCACCGCGATGCGGAATGAGGGCCCCTCGGGATCATCACCAGCTGCAGAGAGAATGCGCTAAGGCCCCATCCACTTGGGAAGGAGCTTGCGAGAGATGTCTTGCTCAAGGCTGAACTCCGCTGCGGAGACCCAAACCAGATCGCCGGCGCGGAACGGGCAAGGAAGGCGATTGCGGTTGGCTTGACGGCTCATCCGTATTTGCGTCTTCGACATCTGATCCCGTGCCTTGACAAGAAGCTCTTGCATGCGACGAAGGAACGCAAGATGGTCGTCGCTCTCGGCTGTGCGCAACAAAGTGGCGTCCAGCGGCGATGAGATGGGTGAACCATGCTCAAACTCGAATGGCGACATCCCTATAGCCGGATGGATCGATGAGTTGTAAGCCAACTCAACGTCTGGCAAGCGGTCAACCCAATCAACTTGGTCGGGACGGATGAGAGTGCGTAGAAGGACTTGAGCGGTCTGATGCGCCCTTTCCGTTTGACCATCGATTTGCGGGTGGCGAGCCAAACTCGGCTTCCAAGATGAGCCCCATCGCTTGACGAGGGCGACCCAAAAGTCGGAGAGAAAGCGAGTGTCTTGGACGCAAACGATCTCCTTGGGGTAGCCCTTGGAGCAAATCCAACCGGTGTATTAGACCTCGGCTAACTCCGGTGCCTTTGGGTGATAGCGGCAAGGCAAAAACATGGCGTACTTGGTGAGGCGGTCGACGACCGTGAGGATCCCATCAACACCGGTCTTGTGCTTCGGGGAAGGCGCCGGTGATATCCATAGCAATTGCTTCCCGTCGCCCAAGGGGCACTGGTAATGGGTGTAGCTCGCCGAACGGACGATGGTTGCATGACTTGCAACGCCGACAGACTTCGCACGACTTACAATAGCGGGTGGCGTCCTTGAGAAGGTCGGGCCAATAGAACCGCTGGCGAAGTCGGCCAAGTGTACGCAATGGTACTGTTAATCGTGTCTTGCGACTTGTAGAATACCAACGGATTGTTATCCGTTACCCATCGGAATGCTTTCCGACCAAGGAGGAAATGTCGCCAATGCTTGAGGGCGTGGACGAAGGCAAGAAGCTCCTTTCGTGCGTCGTCGATCGAATGCACGGGAGGTACTTTCTTGCTAAAGTATTCGACCGGGTGCCAGTCCGTGCCATCATGCTGCTCAAGGACGGCCCCAATGCCATAGCCCGACGCATCGGCAGTGACGCGCGTAGCTAGAAGCGGGTCGTAAATATGTAACACCTTGGCGGACAAGAGTGCCGCTTTAAGTGTTTCAAAAGAATGGCGCGCGTCATCGTCGAAGTCAAAAGGCCGCTCCTCGCTTTGTAACTTGCTTAGGTTGGCTGCGATCTTCGAGTAACCCTTGATGAAGCGTTGATAATAACCGGCCAAGCCGAGGAAGGATCGGACGTCCGTCACATTCTTCGGCTCGGGCCACTCCTGGATGGCTTGAATCTTGTCCGCCAACGGACGAATGCCTTCCGGAGA